TTCCCCACGCCTGAAGCACTCATACCATAGCGCTCATATCCACCCAAACCATCATGCTTCACCGTTGGACACAAGTTTTTAGCTGCTAACGTTTGATTGGGTTTTCACCACACCCGAACTTTTTCATCAGATGAAAATAAGATAAATTTACATTCGTCGCTGAAAAAAAAATCGTTCCCAGAAATTACAAGGCTCATTCAGATTCTTTTTTTGCAAACGATAAACGTTTTTATTCACCTTATTTATAAAATGTTTATTCCTAGCAAATCACGAATTGTACTTTGCATTTTTATAACGTTTCGCACCGTTTGGGATATAAATCTAATGGCAAAATCATTTTCAGCATGTCTGCATTGGAAGCGGCACTCTTTTTTGGAGCTTCATGTATATTTTTCATAATGTCTCGTTCATGGATCGTTAACAATTTTTTCGGACGTCCAGCTCTTGGTCGAAAGACTCTTAAGCTGTGTGAATGAGCCTCTGGTGTAGTCGAGAGACTCGTAAGCTGTATGAATGGACCTATGGCGTAGTCGAAGGACACGCAAGTCGTGTATGTGAGGTGACATCTATTCTTACAGCCTATAATAGTCAGAACGCTATATCTATCCTTTCACAGAATCATGTTGTTATTTTTAATAGTTATTACGACAAAATCACATTCCGTATTGTTTGTTAAATTACGTTTTAATTGTTTTTATCCTAATAAATTTCTAGGGAAATATGAGTTTAATGAACTTTTTGGCACATGAAATTTTTATTTATCACATTATTTTTTATTTTAAGTGAATTTATTAATTTTATAGACATTAGATTTTTTTTATATATTTCTTTTCAACTGTTTTTAGTAATTTTCAAGTGTTTTTTTATTGATTTCTCAGATATTTTTACTATAGTGATATCATGGCCAACCGATTTCATCATCTTTTAATTAGTTGATTCATTTTTTTATTGTTTTGACTTCAACCTCCAATTTTTCAACATAGCTTATCTCATTTATTTTCTAAAGAATATTTTGTCACGTTTCTATTGTTTTGGTATTAAAAAAAAAAAAAACATTAATCTAGTTTGAAAGCTTTTATGAAGATTTTATGGAATATCGAGTACATTCCTCGTCCCTTTCACCATTTAGTGTTTATTTTTATGCACCAATGTTGTTTGATTTTTTAGATATTTGTTTTTAACCTCGTTTTTCAAGTTTCTGAGAGTGTATGGAATATCTGGTACATACACTTTTCAACTTTTTTCAACTTGATACTTCCAGAGCAATATATATTTAAACAACCAGGTTAATGTTAATGGAAAAACCTAGTTATGGTTTTCCATTAATGTACATATGGGTTCCTGATAGTCCTAAGTCAGTGAAAAAACGTGAAGAAATATACACTGCTTATATAAATATTTTTTTTTCTAGTGGAAATTAAATTTTTACGATTTTACGATTACAATACACACACACAAACGCAAATTTCGTGACATTACTGCCGAAGGGTCAGTCCTTCACTGCCACCTAGACCTGTAAGTGAGAATGTATTTTTTTTTTCTTTCTCACATTACAACTGTAAATATTATTGAAAATACTTCATTTCTATTTTATTCTTTTATTTATTTAAACTACTGTATATATTCTAAAAATTTTAATTAAATTAGTTTTTGGCCAGATATGTATTTTTTATTTTTTTTATTTTACTCATTATTGTTTTTCTGAGAGGACTTCGTCCCAGAATAAAGTTTATTTTTCTATAATATTATATGGATTTAGTTTATTTTACGTTTTCCTATACCCTCTACCTAGCCATTTCTGGCTTATGAGGAGAGTTGTTCTTTAAGTACAACTAAACTTATTTTCACTGAAGTGGGAAGGTGGAGTTTCACTCTTTTGGTCATCCACGATATCGCTCATCCGGTGAAATAACTACACAATTGTAATTCCTAACAATGTTGGATTTCTTTCATTTTTATTAAGACATCTTGTAACATACTAAAAAAGTAAGTCTGTTGCAAACGATATCATCGCAGCTATTATTCGCGTGATCTAATACTGCGATACATATTTATAATTATAAAATTCTATAGCGTCCTTAAAATAAAATTAAAAACAAAACAAAGAATAATATGGGATATAAAAAAAGAAAAAGAACGGTCCAGTACTTGTTCCTTGACCGCAAAGAGTTCAAGAACACGAAATGAAGGTGATTTAGAGTAACCACAGGGAGAAACGGTTTCGGTTTTTTTTAAACAGTTTCTGTTTTTTAGCAAAGCGACTATCAAAATAACAAATTAGCCAATTTTTATTTAATTCGTGAGTAATCATTATCTATTTCCAACCGTTATAAATAATTATGACCCTAATAAATAATTAAATAATAACCCTCTAAAGTATAGGCGATTACAAATTAAATTTTAAAAAATGATAATTATGGCATTTTATTTATTTTTGATGTTACAGATAACAAAAATAGGTACCACCACAGTGGATTACTTCGCAACAGTTCTGTTCAACAGTTTTTGGACTCTTAGTGATCAAATGCGTTTTTTACCTACTTACACAGGCGGATCCACGGAGAGTGAGGGGGGAGGGTTGACGTTCCTCCTCTTCACCCAAAAAATTAGAAAAATTATTAACATAATTTTTTTTTTTTTTTTTTTTTTCCTTTATATCTTATGTAGGTTTTTATGAGTGAGATATGAGAAAAATTATTTGTTTTTTCAAGGTCCGTATTTCTTTCTGTGAGTGGTCTGAGCTGAATACTGAATTATAAGTATATATAGCACAAATGAATGTATAGACGTCCTTATACAGCTAATGAATATAACCGTGTGTCTAGGAAAGTATATAAAAATAATTATATCTAAAAGCACAGACGAATCTACGGGGGGAAGGAGGGTTTTCGATCTGAAACCCCCACCCCAAAAAATGGTAAAATATAACCATGTTTAATGGAAAAAAATATTTTAAAATTATCTCTTAAAGTATTATTGTTCGAGTAATTACTTTTAGTAGGAGTTCTAGAATCACTTAAACACCATTTCATATAGATATTTAGTTTCTTTCTCTTTTTTTCAAAGTTTTTGTTGTTATATATTTAAAAAAAAAAAAAACCTCCCAAAATTAAATCCTGGATCCTAGTGCCTAAAAGCTTCACTTTCCTGTAATCACCATTTTAAATCCATCATTTAAATCATGGTTCTGCTACTCACCCTTTTATAAGAGCATTTTAAAGTCAGTCTTTTACTCCATTAATATCTGAATGTTGTATTTATTAATACAAAATGTATGGATCAGTTAGTATAATCTTTGATGGCTCTTAATAATCATTAAAAACCCTGAGAATTAAACAAATATATTTTATAGTCTTATTTTTATGTCTGGTGTCATTATATTATTTAAGCTTTAAATGATTTTTTGCCGAAGTTTCGGTTTCATAAGCCATTTTCAAATATAAACAGTAAAAATTATAATTAGTAAAAGAACGTTAAGAAGTTTCAATGTTAACATAACGATTGTTAACTTTATGTATATGTGTTGTTATAAATATTATATACTTTATCTATCTCGTGGCGCGACAACCTTGGGTCTTGGCCTCCTCAATAAGCCAAACAACCATTCAGCGCTGTCCTATGCTGAATCTTGGATCTTCCAGTTCTTCAGGTCATATGAAGAACTTCTTCAGATACCTTTCTCAGAATTTCATTTTCATTCATCCTTGCCAGCTCAACAGCCCAATCGAGTCTTCCAAGCTTAATGAATCAGACCACGTCAACCTCCTTTATTTCATACATAGCTTGGTTTTTTTCTTATCCTCCATCCCTTGGCAACTCTGAATGGACCATTAATACGCCACAAGATTTTTGTGAAGCCCCCAAATAATTTTTTCATAGGTCCATTTTTGTTATTGTTGTGTATTGTGATCTACACTAAATACTTAATTCAATTACAATATGTGTACTCTTATTAAATTATAATACTTAAACAGATACTGAATAAGCACTATCAAGAAATTTTTTTTTTTAAAATTACCCTTAAAGTATTATTTATTCCAATAATTATAACTTTATATAGTTTCTTTCTTTTTTTTCAGAGAATTGTAGTTATAACACAAAAATTAATTAATGAATAAAATAAATTAAAAAAAAAAAAAATTAAGTCCTGGATTCACTACTGCTTATGGCTGGCATATTACTTTTAGGATTGGGGATGAAGGGGTTAAAAATCAGGTGTTTCATTGGAGACATACTTCACTTATTTACCACATTTATAAAAATATACACTTATGCACCAAAAATGTAAAACAATAAGAGAATAATTTAATCACAAACTACTTTAAATTATTAAGATACTATAAAGAAAAAGAATAATAAATAGATTTGAGATTAAATCCTTCAATATAAGAAAACTCAGATCCATATTCATATAAGTTTTTCTTTAGAAAAAAATTTCCTTGAAAAAGGCATATGTTTCTTGATTTATCTGACTTTAATTCAGTCAATAAAATGAGTTTATGTTACGATATGGTGATATTTATTTTGAAATATGAATTTAGAAAATAATGAAATAAAAAGACTGTTATTAAACTGTCAACTTTTATTGAGAAGGGGAAGAGAGGAGTGAATGAAGGGGAATAATAAACAAAATTAAACTTGCTCCCTCCCCTCTGTCCTCTTCCCCCCAAAAAATCATAGTTCTAATAAAAAAGGTTCTGTACAACTCCTCAGTTTTATAAAGAAGTTATCCATCATTTGATGAGGTAAAAGAATCGGTTATAGACAGATCTGTTAGTTACCGATTCAATATACTTATTATCTTGTGAAATTTCTCATGCTGCAACATTTCTTGCCATCTCCTTCGAATGCTTTTAGGTAATAGATTAGAAATTTTCTCTTGGTCAATTTTGCGAATAATATAGAAACAGTTACATCAATTTACTGTCTGTCAAATTATGATTTTTAGCAAGAATACTTTACCTTATAATAGATACCAACATAGTTCTTCAATGTTTCAGAAAGCACACCTTTTTCATGTAAAGAGATCAGGGCAGTACTTCATTTCCACAATAAAAAAAGAAATGATATAGCATTTGGAAAGACAAAACTAAAAGGAGGAAAAAACATTTGGCAACTGGTAAGTCAGAAGGTCCTCTCTTATTTTTCATTAAATACAATATTGGTCTTTATTAATTTATAAATGATTCATTATATAACAAATGGTAGTTCTGGCTAAATATAGGAAATGTAAATAGAAAATTTAATAATAATGTTGTTTTTCAATCTTTGATATTTTGGGTATTCTGTAGAATTTATTTCAAAGGTGAAACTTCTCTTATCAAACAAATTTATAAATCTCATCAGATGACATTGGATTTAGCCGTAGCAATTATAGTTTTAATATTGTGTTGTTAGATCTCCAATTGAATATTTTCAATTAGTCAACTCAGATCTGTTTAAATTTAAAAGAAATGAAGTAATTAATGTGAGAAACAAACTTCACAATATCTGTTTTCAAAAATTAAAAAAAATTATGACAACTTCAACTTGACTCCACCTACCCACATCAAACTTGGCAGACAAATATTCTAATATTTAACATTTTAATTTTAAAGAGGCCAAAAGTTTCTGATTTTTCTTTTTCTGTGCAATATTCCTTTTTTCATCATGTTGGTCCCCTTCATTTTGTGATGAAGGAATATTATTTAATTTTAAGAAATTCATTTTTTTTTTTTTTAAATTCTCACTCTCAATAAAACAATATGTTCATGATTCAGGTTATAACTTCATTAGTACAATCTTAGTAATTTATTAAATCATGTGTACTTGATAAATCTGCAACAGTTCTAAATAAGTGACAAAATGTAACTGGTGATATTTAACTAAAAAAGACTCGATATATTATAGAAATACATTTTGATTCTTCTTTTCGGGAATATGTTTTTAGTTAATTACTCAAATTCTTTCATGTCTTTTTATTGAGCCATGTTTTATTACCACTAAAAATAAGAGATGATTAATTATTTCAAATAAAATTAAAGGGAAGCCATTTTGAGAATTTGGCATTTATGCGTTGTTATACTGTTTCAATAAAAGTAAGACTTAGACGGTGTTTAAGACCATTTAATTCTTCAAGCTGAATCTGGTCCCTTTTTTAATTGCAAACTTATGAAACCTTTTCTTAATTTTGATCCAATGTCATGTATATTATCAAAATTATGAATTAAAGGTAGATTCAAAATTATTTCTGTATTTTCTATGTGCCTGATGACGAGACTAATTGCGGATTTCTGTAATATCTTGAGAAGTAACATTGAAAAAGCACCTACCTAATTATGATGCTGTGATTATCTTGGAAGACTTTAATACTAAAATAGGTAAAGTAAAATCAATAATAGTTAATGTCAAATAATAATGCTCACTTTATGATGTAAAAAACGAAAATCATATGTTATTCATGTTTTCGCCCAAATCTCTCCTTTAATCTTTAAGAGGCTCCAGATAAATTATAAATCCAGTCTGTAGAAAATTACTATGAAATCTAAAGCTGATTTAGTTGTTCGCAGGGCACCTGTATATTATTCTAGGTCTAAATTTTCGAAAATTTCATTTAATGTATGGGGAAGATTTTTTCTTTAACATGATGGCAGTTTATTTATAAAGGTGAATGTGTTTCCTGGATATAAATTTCAGTGGTTTGGAGTATTACTTACTAAATTGAATCGACTATATGTTTATACATCATGGCCCTTAGGACCAGATTATCAATCAAAGTTTTTTATATTTTTATTATTTACAATTTTATATTTCTGTGTCATGTGTTATTTATTTTATTAAAAACAAAAGAGATGCTTACATAAAAAAAAAAAATAAATAAATAAATGTTTCATTAATTTATACTTATATAAATTAGGTATTTAAAATTGTAATTGTTCACGCTACAGCTTCTGCAAACAAAGTGCACAATGGGAGAACCAAAAACAAGTGCTTCGTGAAAATCACTAAAAAAATCACAATTTTATATTTCTGTGTCATGTGTTATTTATTTTATTAAAAACAAAAGAGATGCTTACATCAAAAATAAATAAAATAAAATAAATGTTTCATTAATTTATACTTATATAAATTAGGTATTTAAAATTGTAATTGTTCACGCTACAGCTTCTGCAAACAAAGTGCACAATGGGAGAACCAAAAACAAGTGCTTCGTGAAAATCACCTGTTTAATAAATAGCGGTAACCATAACCTGGAGTAAGGGTTGCTATGTTGCACTCTTTTCCAGATCTTTCTTGATAATAATCTCGGGCCTAGATGATACGCAGAATTATAAAATATACGTTAGGACTGTTGTTTTTTTGTTTTTGTTATCAATTTAAATTAGATAAAGACATAAAAAATATTAAACATGACAGAAGCTTACAACTTTTTATTTTTTTGTATATCTGCTAATAACACCAAGGCCATGCATTATGAAATAAGATTTGGAAAGAAACTCAATTGATCGGGTATATTGCAAAATTGATCATGTAATCTAAAAGTTTTCAGAATTATAATGATTATAAATATCTATTTGTAATAACAATAATAAACATCTACAGTTAAAGGAAAAAGGCAGGAAATAGCTTTAACTAACAATGAAGATTCGATTATACAAATTTTACTTTATTATTTCCAATAATAAACCTTTGTAATCAATCCAGAAAAAAAAAAACTTAACCCCTGTACCATTTAGATCCGTCTGTGGCTTTACTCCAAGCTACTAGCTTGTTTAAAAATTTTAACATTTTTTTACTTATTATGAATGGTAAGGTAAGGAAAGTAAAAAGTCTAGAGTGGTATATTACACAATTTTCAGTTGTCAACTACTTTAATAATAAATTATTTTTGGCTGTGTATTCTTGGTTACTGTAATTACTTAGTTACTATAGTATGTACTATAATTTTTCTAATTCTACTTTCCCTTGCATAACTTTAAAAAAGAGAGAAAAGGAATAAAATTTCTTGAGGGGGCATGCGCCATTGACTTTGGGAAGGATGAATATCTCTTGAATATCACATTTAACAGCTGTTAGTTTTTCATCTCCTTCCATTTCTTAGAATTCTTATTTCTTACAATTTTAAAGGTTAGATATTCAGTTTTATAAAATCTTATACTTTTCAATGAAAGACCTGCCTGATGACAAAAACCACTTAATTGTTCATAGGCATATCAAGTTTAATCAAAATTGTTAGAGCCATTTTGGAGTGTTGGAGAATATTGTGAAAATGTGTAAAATTTATGAACTAAAGTGTCAATTCTGGTTATTCAATTTTTACAAAAAAAAAAGTTAGTGTTACATCCCAGGCATTTTACTTAAATACATAATTTTTGTTTCAGATAGCTTTACATTTTGGAGCTAGGCTGTTCATATACACTCACATGCACACAGACCATATTACAAGATTTATTTTCTTGATCTCAGCTAAAGAGGCTTAAGCTCTTTTTCTGTTGAAAACTTGAATTTTAAATTTTTTACAATCACTATACTTTCCCTTACTATATATTTCATATATAGATAAGTGAAAATAAAAATAGACTATACCCATATGCTAATGAATTTTAAATCTTTTCCCAACTCTTGTATCTCTAAAATGGCTCGTCTCACCACCTTTTACATTCAGAAATTTATGAGGAATATTTTATGTGATAACTGTGAAAAAATGAAGTGTTTTGTTTAAAAAAAAATGTATTTTTTTTTTCAAGAAAGATGCCACTGTTGTTTTTAAATAGATAAGGACTCAGCAGCAAAAAAATACGAGAGCGCTGCCGACGAGGAGGAAAATTTAATCTGCTACCCATAATCACTCATTGACAAACCTAATAGAGATGAAATTGATATGGATATTTGAAATATTTTAAGCTCACAGGGGAGGGATGGAGGGAGGAGTGTAAAGCAACGAGACAACATTCTTTTTAAGTTTTTTTTTTCTGAAGTTACTATTAAGTCAGATATTATTTTAAATAACAACAAATAATTTCAAGAACTTATAATTTTATTTGTTCAGAAAATATCTTAATATACTAGCTTAAAATTATAACTCTCTAGATATATTGTGAAAAGAAAAATTACGATAAAACCATTTCATTTTTATATAATTTCAGAAATGGGATGAGAAGCTAGCAGATGTTGCATATAAATATGTCCAACGTTGTGAAATAGAGCATAACAATAATAGACGTAAGAAATATTCAGCTTTTACTATTTTTTATTTAGTGTAGAGCTTTCATCATATTGCTTTCTCTTCTTATTTTTATGAATAAAACAAACTTATCTGAACATGTATGTTAACATAAGAATTATATGAGCATCAACAATGTAAATCTTCAAAAATCAACAGTGTGATTTAAGATTGTCAACTTCTTTAATATGAAATGTGGGGAAAAAAAATTGTCCCTCAGAAAGAGGGAGGTAGGCAGGAGAGAATTTAAAAGTGTCATTTTTAGTTTTTCTATCACCATTCATCTATTTTGAGGGCCCCTTGTCTATTTTTGCTGCACTTGCAAGATCTCAGCTACTGTTGGTAGTCATTATTTTTATTAATAGTTATTCTCTTTCTCCTCATCCCTTTACCCTTCTTTCTTCTTTACTATTTCTAATCCATATTTCATGCTGTGATATTAACTAATAATTATCGCACCTTATTTTTTTTCTGATTTACTGCTTATTCTTTTGACTTAATTTTATATCTTATCTCATTACTTTTACTTTTATAAAATCAAAAATAGTAGCTTAAAAATAAATAATAAATTATATAAAATAATTTTATATCATTATAAAAAGAAAATAATAGCTGGAAAATTAATTAACACTCCTGGCATGTATATAAAGTAAATAAATGGTGCATCCTTTTGTTACAATAAGATGTAGATTAATCAAATTGAAAATAATTTTTCATTTTCAGAATCTGCCTAGAAAATTTTCAAAATGATTCGTACCACAAAAGCATTTCCCTAATTTGTTCCTCTTTGTACACGCCAAAGGATGTAAGCTCCTGATAATATGCATATGCAAGTGGCAGTCTTTGCCTTGGAAAAATTGTAGATCATACAAAATTAGACTTCTTGTCTATTCCATGATTTCCTCTAATTACTAGCTTTGAAAATTCCTTCAAATTTAAACCCACAAAAATATCGTTCCTTCCAAAATTCATAACTCAACTAAAATGTGCTCCCTCAAAAATTTTGATAGTGCAACTTGAGCAATGCAACCCTTTTCTGAGCACCCCTGCACTCATTCTGCTGACTCCATCACTAAGTTTATCCTCTTATATTACACAGTGGCAAACCACATAGCGGCACTTTATCTTATATAAATATTATTTCTTATATTGTTTCTCCTATAATGTTTAAGATTTAAAACAAAATGGCAAACAAAGCTTTAGTTGGTTCGAGATTTCAATCAACTGACCAATAGCAAATGTTGAATTGCTCTTTGCCATATCCTGCAATCACGATTAATGAAAATATTGGTAGGGTTTGATTTCTGAAGTAACTGCTATTATTTTAAATTACAAAGCATTCCATAACTTCTGAAATTTCATGTGAAAGTATTTTTTTATTTGTTTGAGAAAGCCATTATTTTAGATGTGATAGATATTTTGTTCTTAATTTTGTAAGGGCCCATTAAATTTCCAAGGTCTGGAAAATACTCCCTCAATGATATATCTTGCTGAGATTTAATAGAACCAATTATTGCTGTGAGTGAAAAATATGCAAATAACTTTTTTAATATATATATATATGTGTGTGTGTGTTTTATAATTTGGCATCAACATTAATTCCAGACTTTTCTTGTTGCAATGCTGAAGAAGTTTGTTTATGAGAAGCAGATCCGCAATGTTTCCTAAATGCTTCTAAAGAACACTTGCCATTTTTTAAACCAAAACTTTAAAAATTAGGATTTATTTTTGTGGGCCAATTCTTATTGGCTTGATTATAGATCACCCGTGGCGGGTGAGAGTGTTACGGATTTATCTACTTTAGCATTACGTCCCTTGTTAATCAAATTTACAATTTATAAACTTACAGTACCATTCAAAATATTGTTGAAAATGAATGGGACAATTTCAAAGATTGCGAGATCAACACCTATAACCTCCTGTTTTTTTGTTTTTTTTATAAATGCTCAATATATTGAATTTTAAATTACAGAAGCAAAAAGCTACTGAATTTTTAATAATTATGTAAGATGAATCAATACATAAATATAATCATACATTAATGTTTTATAGATAAAAAAAATCTGTACAGAATTTTAAGGAGTGACACATTTTTCTTTGAATAGTATTTCAAAACAAATAGAAAAATCTGGTGCACCAAACACACATCTTTTACTTACTGCTCTACTTTGAATAGCAATTACTTTCTGGCAATGCTGGGCTATTATAAAAAATTTTAAAATGCATTTTAAACAGAGATAAACCTTAAAGCTTATAGATAACAAGTCATTAAGACCATTATAATTACAAAATGTCTATTTAATATAGCGACTGTAGGCAATAAAAATCTAGTCACTCCATCTGCTTTCTTTGCTTTTATAAACCACAGAATGACTCCAACTCCAATTTCAACATTTTTTAATAATGTCATTTTAGTGATATTTTTAGTTGAAAAAGTTATCTATGCAGACAGTGAGTAAGTTGATTCCGGAGGTGGTGATTGCAGTGTTGAAATATAGAACGGTGAAAAAGGTATGAATTTAGGTACCTATTTCTTATGAAAGATACTTTATTAAATATATGTAGAAAAAAGTTTTTTTTTAGTCTCAACAATTCAAAAAGTATATTTTAAATTTATCCAAATTTTCGCCTCTTCCGGGATAAAATCTGTTTTTACAGTATATTTTGAATTTTCATGCAGTCTATAGCAATGCATATTTTTCTGCATTTTTATTTTTTTTCTCCTTTATTAACTTATCAAATTCTTTCAAAAGTTATATTTAGCATTTTTTCGTAACTCTGAATAATTTGAAATGATTAACATTATAATATAAACCATATTAAAGGTACTTTAGAGGAAGATGTATATGAACATTGGACATTTAAGCCCTGTAAAGGGGCATCAATGAGGATAAGACCTAATTGGTATTAAAGATTACTTCATTATACATTGATACACCGAGTTTAATCAAAATCGTTAGAACCTTTTTCGAGAAAATTATAAAAATGTGTTTCAGTGTTGATATAAAGTAGCACTTCCGGTTAGCCGATTTTAAGGAAAAAGTTGCTGTCACATATAAGGCATATACCTATCTTAAATACGTAATATCAGTTTCGTACGGCTTTTCGTTTTTGAGCTAGACTGCTAACATACAAACACACAGACACACAGACCATTTTTCGGGACTTGGTTATTTAGACTCAGGGTACCTCAAAACGTGTATTTCCGTTGAAAACTCAGATTCTAAAATTTTCTTGATCGCAATACTTACCCTTACTATATATTACATATATACATAAGTGAAAGTAAAAATCTGACTATTGAACTTATTTAGTTATTTCTCTTTTATTATAGATGGATAGAAAATACCTTTATTCTGGAACAAAGTCCCATGAGAAGAACAATAGAACAAAATTAAAATATTACATTTAGCCTTAATAAAAACAATAGGAAAAAAGAAAAAGAAAGAAAATATTATGTAAACATGCTATAAAACTATATACAAAAAACTTGAAACTATAAAAAGACACTTAAAACTATTTACTTTTAATTTTTTTTACTGTTGTTTTATATATATATATATATATATATATATATATATATATATATATATATATATATATATGTATAGTAACAATATTTAAATTTCTCCCCCATTGAAATAAGAGAAACAAGGTATATTTTGGTCCCCTCGCTCCCAGTAGTTGAAGCAAAACAATTCTAATGTGATTTATTGTAATAATTGTCATGTATCATTCAAATGTTTATTATGTTCATTTATTTAAGTTTGCAGTGCTGGAACCAATAAAGGGTAAAGCGTGCACTTACTCTGGTTGCTCTTGTTGTTTTAATCTATTTTTTAAATTGTGTGCTGTTTATTTCAAAATTACGCATATACATTTATACATTTTAATATTAATCAAAACAACATAAAATGAACAATACCATTAAAAAAACATAAAATCAACAGCTTTAGCTTAATATGCAATAATGAAAAACCACAAATTTGATTTTGATAATAGCAAATCATGGGAACTAATATAATACATATAGAAGCAATATTTCACAGAAAAAAATCGTCATAAATTATAGGACATTATGTCAATATAATAAATTAAATGATTTTTTTTATTATGACAGCTGTTAGAACTTTAAATTAAAAAGCTTTAATAAATATTGGGTAACTTTGCTCACATCCATACATTGTACATGTGCCCTCCGGTTATAACTAAATGAGCAATATTGTCACCGGGAAGACAGTTCAACATCATAGAATCCACAAAAATATGAATCCATCAAAATTAAGGAAACCAAAAGGCCCAGTCAACACACAGCTTAAGGCTATGTTCAGGAACGCTGGTGGCCTAACTGCTGACAAATTCACATAATGGAAGACGATTATTACAAAGGAGGATGCTAATTTATATAGGATCGTAGAAGCCGGCTGAAAATATTCAGTTCTACCAATTCCAGGATATCAAACTTATAAACTGCAGAGATCCAGGCAGGTTGCATCAGGAATAATTGTCGCTGCTAAATCATCCCTCAAGGTAACCTTTTCAATTAAAAAGAAGATGGAAGAGAAGGATAAATTGGTTGCTGAACAGTTAGATGTCTGGAAGAGGATTCACGGAGGAGTTGTATTGGGCTGCCAGGAACCGAAAGGCCTAATAGCCAACGGCAGAGGCGTTTAATAAAAAAAATAAATAAATAAAATTAATATTTATTAATTAAAAGGAAAGAAAAAGGCAGTTTATCTGATTTGTTTAATTTTATTTAAAGAAATTATACTGATTTAAATACTTTTTTCACAGCAAATGATACGGGTGAAAATATTGCTTGGCGGAAATCTGCTAATGAAATTCAGAAACCAGTATCAGACATGACCGAAATGATGGAAGAGTGGTATAATGAAATTGAGGTTTATGAAGAGAATGGAAAAGATAATCAATCTTCGAGTAATTTTACACAGGTATTCTTAAGATGATTATGTTAACAGTTTTAATTGATGTGACAAAAATATCATAATCAGATAGAAATAAATTAGGAATTCTTTGTTCATAATAAATTAAAATAATATCTAATAATAATAACCAATTGAGTAGTGAAATGAACAATATAAAAATAAAAATCTTATACAATATATCAGCCATTCTTCTCATTTTTAATACAGTATTTATTAAAAAAATAAAAGTTGTATTAAAATTATATTGTTCATTATTATTATTCTTACAGGATTAAATGTTTCTGAATACAATTTCCTTTTCTTCTTCTTCAAAATTCTCAAGAAAATGATGAATTATCTTTTGATAATTTTCCCGTAAATTGTTGTAATTAGTCATATATGAAGATCCTTAACTAATGACATAAAAATTAAACTAATAAAACATCATGATGAATGAATGATGCCTTGATGAATAAATGACAATGATATATGACTATCTAACATTGGTATTTTTTAAATTAATCCTTCATTGAAATAAATTTCATTTATTAATTTAAATAAAGGGTGTTGGTTACCACGTTTTATTCCAACTTTTGGGTCTGTATTAATCTTGAATTCATTCAATACTTTTAAAAACTTGAATGAATGAGAAACGTCTGACCCTAATCCATACTAATTGCCATCAAAACAACTTAGGCTGTTCATCAAAAGTTGTTTCCCACCTTTTACCCATTTAACTCCATGAGAGCTTGGGAGATATAAACTATGGCTCTAGGTACATTGCCATTACTTAAAAAGTAAGACTTGTTTTTCAGACTGGTGTTTTGTTTTAATTTATATTAACTTGTCCAGTTTCGAAACATCATATATATATATATATATATATATATATATATGAATGGCTAGGGTAGCCGTGTGGGCTAAGGCACTTGTAATAGGTAACCAAGTTAAGCAACGCCAAGCCTGGTTAGCACTTGGATGGATGACCGCCCGATTTGGATCCGGTCCATCAGGGAATGCCACGTTGCCCAGAGTTTAAAAGACAAGCTAATCTAGTTTTACTAGTTCAGGGGAAAAAAAAATAACTGCTCTGTAGTTTCCCCAAAAAGGGAAATCCCAAAGAGGGAATGAAACAAAGGATTTGTTTTGGCAGGACTGTATACTAATTACATCATAAATATTAAAAATAAAGATTGCTGATATGAAGATTCAATTAAAATTGGTGGATACCCTTCTATCAGCTGTATATTAAAGCATTTTTACATATATTTTTTGTATTATAAAAATAATAATTTATAGAAAAACTAAGATTTATATGTCATATAGATGATTTGGGCAGCTACAAAGTTTGTCGGATGTGGATTTGTATATTATGTTGAGCGAACTGAATATCCACTATCCCCATATTGTCAAATGTTAATCTGCAATTACAGACCAAGGTAAGAATAGTAATTATAGTTTACATGCATATGAGGGACTTCATATCAAAGATAGAAATTTGTCATTTTCAGAAAGCAGAGAAAAAATCTATTTTGGTTTTATAGGTTCAATTCAAACTGTTTCGGATGGTTTTATCCAAGATTGTTCAAGTTTAATCATGAGAAAAAAATCATTAGAATTGGTTTTAATTGAAGCTATGTTAAATTAGGTTTTTATCAAATTTTTAAAAATGACAGATATACATCTTTGATATTAAGCCACTCATATATTTTTTTAAAAGAATCATATTAAATAGCTTCCATATGCACAATATATATATATATATATATATATATATATATATATATATATATATATATATATATATATTTATAAAATAGGGCTATGGTAATTTTATGCTACTAGTTTTACTTTCTAGATCACATAAATGACAGATTTATTGTAGATGCAAAATTAAATTTATAAAATAAAAGCAGTGAAACAACCACAGAATTATCAGAACATTTTTTAATCCTATTCTTTCCCTTGAGATAATAACCTCAGGTTTTCCTGATGAAAATCTAGTATTATAGTAAAAGATATCTATTATGAGTAATATTTCAAATCTTCAGAATAAAATTAATTTAAATTAAAATTTGTTACTAAAGTTTATAATAATTTGAGAATTGATATAATTTTATTTTTCCCACAATTAACAGTGGCAATGTTGCTGGTGAAGATATGTATACTAAACATGATGAAGCAATAGAAAAATGTGACATTGGAGTTCCTTCTTGGGAGTTTGAAGCCCTTTGTGGTGATGAAAATTTGCATTAATATATTATAAATAGTTGTCCCGATATATAAATATTTTTCTTTTTTTTTTCTGTTGGCATTACAGACAATGTAGATCTTTTGCCACCTTAACAAGCCTGCTCCGTCTCTGCTTGTCTTGGGCTATTTCTTTCCATTTATCTGCACTCAACTGTATTGCATCTTTGTCGATTCTATCTATCCGTCTGCTCTTTGGCTTTCCATGAGGTCTTTTACCCTCTATTGAGGCATTCATTGTTACTTAGAGGCATCCAGATGGATTGCTACGGGCTACATACCCCGCCCATCTTAACCTAACTTTACAGCCTTCATAACATGGGATATTGATAGACCATTTTCTGTAAGCAATTCTTTATTTGTCTTTCTTCTCAATGTGTTAGTATTCTGAACCCACATCGCTCCATTTATCGTGCGGAGGATTTTTCTTTCAAATCTTTCAACATTTCTTTCTAGGGTGCTGAATAGTGTCCAGGTCCACAGTCATATATTAAAACTGGCTTTATCATAGCATTGTACACCCTTAATTTGAGATTTTTGGGGATTTTAATACCTTTGAAAGGGAGAAGAAAGCTCTGTTTGCGCTATTTATACACTGGTCTATTTCTGCCCGTTGGTCATTCATTGAGATTATTGTGGTATTTGAATTTTTCTACTCTCAGGAATGACTTTCCTTCTACGCAGATCCTGTTATTGGAGTGGAATTTTTGGCTTATTATCATATATTTTGTTTATGTCTTCATTTACTTGTAGGCTGATCTGCCTCTCTTATTAGAGTCTTAGCGAGTTTCTCAATGTTCTCTTAATTACTTCCAAGGACTACTATATCATCTGCGTATCCAAGGATTTTATGATTCATTTCGACGTGGACCCCTCCATTTTCCTGTGATGTTGTTCTTATTACCTTCTCCAGGGCTAAGTTGAACAACATCTGTGATAGTCCATCTCCGTGCTGTAAGCCCGTTCAAACTTTGAAGGCTTCAGATACTTCTTGTATTAAGACTCTACATTTGGGGTCATTTGTACATGCCTTTCTCAATCTCACCAACTTACTGAGAACTCCCAGTTCAGTCATGATTTTCCAAAGACAGCTCCTGTCCACAGAATTGTAGGCTGCTTTAAAATTGACAAATAGAATGTGGACGTCCTGAGCTACTTCTCATCGTTTTTCGAATACTTGTTTTAGGATGAAGATCTGGTCTAGCGTGCTCCTCCCTTTTCTGAATCCAGCTTGGTGGTCACCTATTAAATTCTAAAAATATGGATATATCCGGTTTAGTAGGATTTATCCGTATTTTTCATAAGTCATTAAATTGTCACAGAAGAAAGATATTGTTCATGATTATAGTTAATTATTTGATTTCATAAATTAAATACTTATTTATATCCCTTGATTTATAATTGTTTACAATGTGTTAGATTTTATTTAACTATGAACTAAGCTTTCTCTAATTAAATATTGGTTAGTAATTCAATAAATAAATTGTAGCTAAAGCTAAAGATATTTGTTAACTTATATTTAAGACTGCTAAAACTAATATCAATTAGCTACCTAAAAGGTTTATAAGAGTTAGCTCTAACTAAAAAGTGGTCTGAATCGCAGTTAGGACCTCTAATCATTCTCACATCTATGATGTTTGATGCATGTCTAGCTGATATCATGATATGATATATTTGATTCACAACATCTCTTCCAGGTGCCCTCCAAGTACCTTTATGTATCTTTTTATGAGGAAAACATATACTTTTTGTAGCAATCTGTACATTTCTGCACATTGGGCCAGTAACAGACCATTCTCACTCGTTACTTCATGCAATGAGTGTCTTCCAGCGACTTCTTTTAGGGCCTCTTCTCTCCCAATTTAGGCATTGAAGTCTCCTAATAGTACAATTGCATCGTATTTGGGCACTTTTTCAATGTTGCTTCCCGGGATATCATAAAATTTTTCTTTGATGTCATCATCAACGAAGTTTAAATATTCATTCAAAAGGGACCCTTTGATTTTTTTCCCATCTGAAAAAGTAAGAAATATAATTTTTTATAGCTACATGTATTAATAAGAGTTAAGAAATAAAAATCAAAGATTGATCTTAATTTAAGAGATGGATCAGGCATAAGGATGAGGTGCAGTCTATAAAATCAAGAATATTAAGATGGTTCAAGCATGTGGAGAGGTTCTTAGATTTTCATATCCAAAAATAAATAACAGGCATCTTATTTAACTTTGAAATGAAGATCTTGTGATATGTTTGTCAAGGATAGATAATGAAATGAAATGAAAAAATAATTTTATTCTGGGACTACTGTCCCCTAAGAATAATAACGGAGTTACAAATTTATGTGTCTTAGTCTGACATAATAAAAATACCAACTAATTTATTGTTAATTGTTATTTCAAGTGTACAATGGATTGAAATTAAACATTGTATAGATGCAAGTAATTTTACATGTTAGGGGAAGTTTGAATGTGGAGTAAGTGTTGGAACAGGAGTTGTTTGAAGGAATTGGTGGATGAGGATTGACGCATAGGGGTAGGAAGTGAGTTCCATAAGGAAGCAGCACGAATGAAGAAGGATTTGCTGAAGGAGGAAGTTTTATGGGAGGGAATATATAAGTCTATAGGTTGAGACCTAGTATTGAGAGAGTGGATAGAGGAGCGCAGAGTAAGGAGTTCCAGTATGTAGGGAGGGTTTTTAGTTCTGAAGACTTGGAAAAGGAAAACACCAAGAAGGAATTGTTGTCGGGAAGTAGGATAAAGCCACTTCAACTCTGTGTACCATAGTGAAACATGTGAACGTCTGGGGATCCAGAAAATGAATCTTATGAAACAATTCATGAGTCTTTTTAGTCTCATTTCCAGCCTGGCAGATAGCCCTCCATACACCAAGCAGCCGTAGTCGAAGTGGGGGAATATAAGGGAGGTTACAAGAAGCTGTCTGGTTTTTAGAGGAATACAATCACGGAATCTTAGGAGTTGTTTAAGGGCAGTTATGGATTTTCGGGTAATCTGGGAGATATGATTATTCCAGGAGAGGTTCTGGTCAAAGGTTACTCCTAGGTTTTTGGCTGTAGGGAAAAATGGATGGGATAGTTATTGAGGTTAAGTAGAGGAAAATAAGGAAGGAAGCTGATGAGATTTAAACGTGGAATAATGCTGAGTTAGTCTAGTATGTCTGTATCGTCTTCTAGCAGTTTCTCTTCTCCTCATTAGTTCTCTTATTTCTGTATTGATCCAAGGAGTGGGAGGACGTCTAAAGACACGTGTTTTTAGAGGTGCGTGACAATTGAGAAAATCGAGGAGGTTGGAGGAAAGGCATTCAACCATATCATTGATGGAGGGGAAAGAATAGATGGGTTCTAAGCAAGTGGAAAGAGAATCGAGGAAGGGACAGATTTTTTCAGTGGTTAAGGAATCTAGATCTCTCCAGGAAATTTGTTTGGGTTTAGGTGAATGAGTAGAGAAGTTTTATGTTATATCAATAAAATCATGGGATGAAAGGAAGGGAACTGGAATTCGCGTAGAGGATAATAGGTTATGTGGGGAATCAATAATAAATAAATCTAGCCAAGTATCAGTGGATTGGGTGTGATGGGTGGGTAGAAAGGGTAGAATAAATAGATCTAAGGAAAAAACTAGGTCGGTAAGATATGTTCTGTCCTGAGTGTTTGAAAGGAGGTTGGTGTTGAGATCACCAGCAATAATAATATTTTCGTAGAGAGGAATATATGTAAGGAGGGAGGATTCGAGAGTGAGATCGAATTGGACACGAGGAGGTCGGTAAATAACGATAAAGAGTAGAGGAAAGGTACTAAAGGAAACCTGGGCAAACAGATATTCTATGTTAGGGACGTCTGAAGGAGGAGATTTTAGAAGGACTTTGGCCGTCAAACTGTCATGTACGAACCATCCCACACCTCCACCTGTTCGTTCCATTCGATCATGGGTAAGGAAACGGATAGGGAGGGAATATCAGGTTTGAGCCAAGTTTCTGAAACGGCTATGATATGATGGAAGTTATGGTGAAAATAATCGAGGAATTCGTCATAATGAACTAGAAGGGATTGGGAGTTAACGTGACAGGATATTAAGGTATTGGTCATGAAGAGGTCAGGGTTAGGATAATCTGCGGAGTGTGACAAAATGGTTTTAATATTGATGGAATAGGCACATTTTTAAACTTACATAATGCGATATAATAACAAATTATGTACATTATATTGATATAGATCTTACTTGAAATCTTTAAATGAAGGTAAGCATAGAAAAAATTTAAATCTGATTTGAAGTAAAATAAGAAAATTTCATCTTTAAAAAAAAATACTTAATAAGCAATAGAATAAATTATTATGAACTATAGAAACAAAAAAGAACAATAACATATTTAAAAAAGAAAAATAAAATAAAAGATATTCATAAAAAAGAGGTTAGAGGGAACCGTGAGACCTATTTCATTCCAGCAGTTCAATGTCTTCCTTTTTGTTGACAATGATGACTGGGGATCCATCCTGTTAGTGTAGTCTTTTGCTATTGAGGAGGATGGTAATGTTTATAGTAAAATGTTTATAGTAGATTATTAAGTGCGTTTAAAAAAAAAGTAATAATAAAAAAAAATAGAAAGGGAGAACTTGAACTTTTTTTTGTATATATTATATGATCCTCTTGAATAATACTTTATTAACTTTAATGGCTTTATATTTATCAAATCTAATTTCTTATTATAAAAAATCTTTCAGCTCATGATGCAAAGCATGCCAGAACTAAGGATTTCTGCTTGGGCGATTTTGATTCTGAAGGTAATATTACATGTTCATTTATGTTAATTGTTTAAATGTTGATTAGAGTTAGAAATATTGAAACAAGAACTCTTATAAAATTCAATATTCTTACATTTTTAGAAGGTTTTGATAAATAACCGCCATACTCGATTAAACAATTTAAATTACAATCCCACAAAAATTCAAATATTGCATTAAATGCTCTTCAAAACCATCTCCATAACGAACAACGTATCGATAGTACCATTGAATTCATTAAGAACATAGGGCTAATTCAACTAATCTGAACTAAATTAATTTTTCTCACAAATTTTGATATATTGGCTTAATTTCTATAAACTCTATACTTTTTTTTTTTTTTTTTTCTCGATAGTAATTTATGTATATATTTTTTTTATTCCTTTTTAAAACATATTTATTTTTGTAATAGTAATTTTAAGATTGAAAAATAAATAAATCAGTACTATTTGAGGGCAATGATAACCATCAGCAGTTTTTTGCCCCTAAACCCAAAACAACAACAACAAAACCATCTCCATAACCTCTAAAAGTGGTTCCAAAATTCAAAAGAAAAATAAATTGCAGTAAATCAATCCATGTTAGTTTTTTCCTGCAGAAAATTTCTTGTCCTGCAAAAATAATAGGCAACCCAGTTGCATCTAAAAGTTATGTATCGTATCTCAGATTTTACTGGGACAGAAAACATCTGAAACATGCAAACCAAATTTTAAAAATTGACTAGACGATACAAAAAACTGTCACAATTTTTGGACTGCAGATCTCCACTCAACTTACAAAACAGGCAACTTTATGGTTCTGCAAAACTCGTCCAAAACATAAACAAAATTCAAACCACACAATCCAAAATATCTTGATGAAGTGCACGTTGGTTTATTTTAACCACACCATAAACAATATGAACATACTAACAGTAAAATCCTACATACAAAATAAATACATTATGTTTCACTCCTCAACTCTAAATGAACCAAATCTACTCGTCCTCTCTTTCTTCCTCACGACCCGTGCAAAGAGAGATTTTTGAAAATACATAACAAATGTTAATTTTTTCTTTGACAAATTAGTTTAAATTAGGAAAGGGATATTAAAATAAAAAATTAATTTTCAACTCGATATTTGTGAAAAAGACAAGTGGTCAACCATCAGTAGTTCTTTGTAAGGTTAATTTTAGTTTTTTTACATGAGATCTTAATATTTTATAAAAATAGTTAAGATTGAATCAACATCATCGCAGCCCTAGCTAACCAAGTATCAGAAAAATAATCAATATGTCAAAATGTAACTTCTATTAGCTTAGTAGCACAATTTGATATAAATTCAACTTCTTGGTTAGAGATTAATATTATTTCCATAATGTCTAAAAAATATCTGTTATTTATTTTTAATAATAATTCATCTATGATTAATAAAACCCTAATTGCAGGACGAATTCTTAAGGAATCTGTTGTTGTTATCCTTATCAATATGGTAATTGCCTGGTACTGTATGTTGAGAAAACAATAAAAAATCACACGAAAAAATAAACTTTTTTTTAAACATGGATTTTTTTTTCAAAACATAAAATTAAAAAATTGAATTTGATATATATTCCAAACTAGGATTATAAACTAGATGAATTATTTCTTAAGTAAGTGTTATTCATTTTAAGATAATTGAGAAACTTCTATATCTTGTATCATTGCATTATTTTGTTTATTAGCCATAGCTTGCACGATGGTCAAAAAGTTTCCTATATTAGGTATTATGTTTTCCCTTTGCTTAATACTTTTATCTCTTCCCAATCTTCAGGTGATTGTAGGTCCAAATCTGCGGTGGATTAGATAGTAAAATCTTAAATCAAGTATAAAATGAAAAATAGATATTGATATTTCTTTCATACTTCAAGAATATCAGAGGTAAAATAAATGAGGTGAATGAAAGGTTAGAAAGCAGACTTTCCAAATGGACATGAGCAAGGAATTTCTAATTTCCTTCCTTCTTCCTGGAAGGAATTCCTGACATAAATGACATTTATATATTCGTAACGTTTGTCAGTGGGATCCCAAAATGTTACCATGTTTCTCATCCGATACTATGCTGACTTAGTGTGACTGTTCCCCTCCTTCCAAAGACACATATTAGGCACATTCCTATATCAAATTTTCAATAATTAAAACCCTTCCTAAGCGTACAATTTTTTGCAATTCAATTCCTCAGTCCTCTCTTTCACTACAAGATCTCGACCTTCTGGCCATTATACTCCTTTTCACCCCTTCTATTTCAATTCCTATTCTTGTGAATAAAAACTGACTAACAATAAACAATAAAAGAGCTAAAAATATAATAGTGCGTTATATTCACTATTCACATGCTCCTTATGACTGAACATAAATTTCATGCTTTTCATCCAATGTTAGTTTGGTGTACCAAGTACATAGTTTCAGAGTAAGCTCTGAGATTGAAAGGTACAAATGTTTCTTTTGGTTCCTGCAGGTTTGAGCAAGTACTTTGCTTCATCTATTACAAAAATCTGATGAAGCAATTATACCTCTTCTGTCAGCCTCCGATCAAAACTAGTTTTGATTTAATTTTATTCCATTGCTTATTTGAAGTTTGTTTGCAAATTATGATTTGTTCCAGGAAAGTTTATTTTAGTAGTAACCTTAAAAACCTAAACCAAAAAACAGTATTAATATTTTAGAATGAAAACATGTTAGACTGAGATCCACCTAAGTTTTTTTTTACAAGATAAAATTTTAAAAATTATTTACAAAATATGAAATCTGGTAAATCACTCAACTTCTAGGTTACTACAAATTAAATTGTAGTTAAATAACTACAAGTTATTCTCATAGAAAGCTCATTTTTTTATTTTTTTTATTTTGATATACTACTTTTCAAATTATTCAAAAATCTAATTTTACCACTTCTGATAACTTTTTATCCAATTTAAGTTTAAAGAGCCATGCTTAAGAATATAATGGATATAAAATGTGGTAGATAGCCACCATATTGAAATAGAGGTTATATGAGATTATATTTTTTTAATGAATTTATTGAAGGAAACTAGTGGACTGTTCTACATATCATGGGTGATAAATAGTCAGGATGCAGTCATTATACAATTTTTTTTATAACAGTTTTTCACTTACCTGCCAAATGTGTCAATAATGAAAGCCTTCAATGCTGGGACCACGACCTGATGATGACCCACATGTTTGGACATTGGCACAAATAAATTTTTAAAAAAATTTATAATGACTGTGTCCTGACTATTTATCACCGATATTTTTTAAACTTTTCTTTTTTTCACCTACCTCAAATTGTTTACTTTGCTGGTTTTTCCGGGATCAGGGAAGGTGGTAGATTGATGATAGAGTTAAATGCCCCCAGCTCTGGGACTCGAACTCGTAATCTTCAGGTTGCCATGCAAAGCATGTAAGTCATGGCTCTGCCACCCTGCCCTTTTTTTTAAGTGGGAACAACAGCTAGTGCCGTTAATTTGATTTAATAAAATTTTCAGAGATGGTTAGAGCAGTGGCCTAAATAGTTCAGAAGGCTCTCCTCTTCCCCTCGATTTCTAATTCAATGCAACCTAATCATCAGAATAACTTTAAGATTAGATAAGTATTCAACAACAAAATAAATGGGTTTTAATTTATCTACCTTATACATTATTTTTCAAAGGTGTTTTTTTGTTGATACACCATATCTTCCCTAGTACTTAATTTAATCTAAGGGCCTCCAAACTGTCTGGGGTCTCGGATCCAGCCCCAAGCACCTTCAATCCAGTCTGCGAAAGTTTCTTTGATTACATGGTAATTTTTCTAAAAATATAATACTAAGCAAATTATTTACAAACAAGACTACAACAATCATTGCATGTTTTTTTTTTCTCTTAGAAAGCTTCTAATCACAGCTGATTTATAGAATAAGATTTTTTTTCATCGTAAGGTACAGCTCTTGGGACTTGAGTGGTGGTCTCTATACAGCCCATGGAATTTAGTCGAGGTCTCAATGTGGCTCGCGGAACAAAAAATTTGGAGACCCCTGATTTAATCGAATAAATGAGGCACCATTTTGAATATTACATTCCCACAGAAAACGAGGGAATTAAGTTACTAAGAAAACTTTTATAAAAGAAGTTGGTTGAGGATTACAGTCATAGAGCTACACAAAAATAAATTATAACATTTAACGGGTCATCTTTGGAAACTTTTCAAGACTCCAATACTTTCTCTGACTATATGTTTCATATTTACATAAGTGAAAATAATCTATTAAAACTTAAGAATCTTAGGTTAACCAATAAAGCTTATTAGGCTAATAAGGATGACTGCAAAACAGAAGATATTTAGCATAGTTACAGAGATTTTGTCATTGATAAGGAGACAAAAAGGGGGATCCCTTATCCCGCATTTTTATTTAACATGAAGCTTGATAGCAGCCAAAATAAAGGCCGAAAGATGTTTAAATGATAACATGATTCAATACACAGCATATACCAACAAGGTGTTCTTAACAGGAAAAAAAATCAGGATTGGCTTTTATGGAATGTGAAGGTAGGCAGGACTCATAGTGAAGGAAAGCAAAGTGTATATCATCCAGGAAAGCCTCTGCAAATTGATGCCAATTGCTATTATATGATAAGATTTTTAAATTACGAATAAATTTACTTACCTTGGTCCAATTTTAACCAGCAATAATAAAATAGAGGAAGAAATAAAAGCAAGGATTGGAAACGGAAACAAGTGTAATTGGTTCTTCAGAAAGATATTTCAAAACAAAGAGATACCCAAAATCTCAAAATAAGGGTATAAAAACGGAAGCTGACAACTTCATCCAGTTGCCATGCATCGTAATGAAGGGTGGACCCTAACTAAGAAGCAAGAGAGATTGCTGAGTACACAAGAGGAAAAGATCCAGAGAAGAATAAACGGCCCTACCAAAGATGCAAGTCATTACCGCATAAACACGAACGCAGGAGTTAAGAACCTATATGTGATGTATCTTACAGC